CAGGCATTTAGTTGCTCTTCTGGGTTACTGCATAAATGGGAATGAGAGGCTCTTGGTGTACGAGTACATGCCGCAGGGGACTCTGGCTCAACATTTGTTTGAATGGCAAGAACTTGGTTACCGTTCTCTCACTTGGAAACAGAGGGTTACCATAGCACTGGATGTGGCTCGAGGAGTGGAGTACCTCCACAGCTTAGCTCAGCAGAGTTTCATTCATAGAGATTTAAAGCCTTCAAATATACTTCTTGGAGATGACATGAGAGCTAAGGTTGCCGATTTTGGTTTGGTTAAAAATGCGCCTGATGGGAAGTATTCTATGGAGACAAGATTGGCAGGAACCTTTGGCTATCTTGCACCTGAATATGCTGGTAAGTAGAGGCTTAGATGTCCATACTTAGTCATCTTCATTCAAGTGATTGCAAGTTGCCTGAGCTTCTAACATGGTATCAATGCATGTACCTTGAAGTAGTAAAATTTCCAACTTTTAGCCATTTGTCTAAATAATCATAGGAAATACGTAAAGCCTCCTACATATTTGCATTTCATTGTTCATTGAACTTGGTACTTTTCTAGGCATGTTGAAGTTCCAGAAAATGTGACCCTTGATCACAAGATATGGTCTTCTTTACCTTTCAATAATTTCCGGTTAATAATGTTCGTATATTTATTTTTCATATTCGGCTGCTTGATCCTGAAAGTATGTACTTTATTTATTGTCTTCTAATTTGAACTGAACCTACTATGTTCTGCTCAGCTACTGGAAGAGTTACAACAAAAGTGGATGTTTATGCTTTTGGAGTGATTTTGATGGAGATCATCACAGGAAGAAAAGCTTTAGATGATACAGTGCCAGATGAAAGGGCACATTTGGTCACATGGTTCCGCCGAGTTCTAGTCAACAAGGACAACCTCCTAAAGGCAATTGACCAAACTCTGAATCCTGATGAGGAGACCTCGGTGAGCATTTTCAAAGTGGCTGAGCTAGCAGGGCATTGCACAGCTCGTGAGCCACACCAGAGACCGGATATGGGCCATGCCGTTAACGTTTTAGGACCTCTTGTAGAACAATGGAAACCTACCAACCATGAAGAGGAAAGCACTTCTGGCATTGATCTCCACATGAGCCTTCCTCAGTTTCTCCAAAGATGGCAAGCTGATGAAGGTACTTCGACAATGTTTAACGATATGTCCCGATCACAAACGAGTATTCCAGGAGGATTTCCAGACTCATTTACTTCAACTGATTGTCGGTGATCGAAAAGAAAGAATGTGTATATTTTTTACGAGCAGACAGGGATCGTACAGTTAAAGTTAATGGGGCAGCGCAAATGATAGGCTGCCGTGCCGTTCAACCCTGTGAGTTGCCGTGTAAACACTCCGATGATCAATATCCAAAACGTATCACTGTTTTGCTACATTGGTTGATTCATTTTCTTTGTTTTTTATTTCTTCTAATGATCTCATTTGTTATAGAGCCAAACTAATAGTCTTATGTTGTCTTTGATCAATTCCTTGTAGCTAACCAATTGATTTGGTTATCCAAACAATCAGGGATGTTGTAATATATTTCTTCACGTGGTTTTGATCATCTTGCCGGTTCATGGTTACCTTGTCCCCATTTCTTTCACCATTTTCCTTGGAATTTCGTCTCATTTTATCTGCCAGGTTTGATATATGTGTTTGAATCATTGAATGATTCTCGAGGCTGTGTGAAAACAAATGGCAGGTCTTAGGATCCTCTTGTTGCCAACTACGTTTGATGGTGGTTGCTTTGCACAAGAAAAAAGATCTGACATCTTTTGACACCATATGGCTATATGGGACATCCTTTGATGAGTTGGACGTTAGCTGGATGACAGATTCCTCCTTGTCAAGTATGAACGCTTTTATGCGGCGGATTGACATCTTTTTTCGTTAAATAACATGCAATTTTTGTTTTTACTTTTTTATATTTAGGGTTTCAATTTTAACTTCAATTAAAACTAAATTCAATATTTTTTTTAGATAATTAGATGATCACTAGATTATTTCTCAGAGTAAATCAAATCACTAGACTATTTCTTAAACTGAATCAGATGCTTAACTTTTAATCGATCACTAGATTGATTTTTAAACTAAATCAAACACTTAACTTTTTATCGATCATTAAACTATTTCTTAAACTGAATCAGCTTAACTTCTGTACTAATAAAGAATAATAGTAGTAATTGAACTTTGATATTGACCAAACTTGGATAATTTCTTTAATGTTAAACAACATTTCTTGATGGTTAAATAACATATAATTGTAAATGTTTTTTTTAATAAAATATCATAAATGATTGATAAAAAAATTACAATAATTAAACTATAATATCACAATAAAAACATCATTTACAATATGATGAAGGTATCATTTAGTAAACAACCCTTCATAATTTTTGACTTTTGAATAGTTTTTAAAGAAAATATATGATTTACATGTGATATATTTAATGTCAATAAAAACACCTTATAGTTGAAGGGCCGAAACAAAAAAAAAATAAAATTCAATTTACGAGGAATATAACACAGATAGTTTGAGATATTATCATAAAATTGAATTTTGACGTGTAAAAACAGACAAAATGATACCCTAAACATTAAAGAAAACAGCGAAAAAAGTATTCATGCTTTATTTTATTGGAAAAGTATACTGTAGTGTATTTTAATAATACTTATTTCATTACGTTTCATCCATTTTTTCGTTCAATAACATGTAAGTTATATATATATATATATATATATATATATAATGGGATATATTGATCCTATCAGTATACTTTTACCATCAATCGAAAATAAATTTATTATTTTTTAAGCTAAGTTAGCGTCAAAATACATTAGTTTTTAGTTGATCACGAGGTTGTTTTTTAGACCAAATCAACTCAATCGTAGTATCATTAAAAAATAATTATGACCAATAATCAATAGATAATCTAAATTGAACCTTAATCTTGACTAAACTAAAACAACTCTTTTACTGCTAAATTATGTTTTTTTATAATTCAATAACATATAACTGAACACTTTTCTTTTATAAAATATCAAAATATATATATTTTTTACAATAATTAAGCTCTAATATCATGATAAAAAACATCATTTACAATATGATATAATCATAAAATTTGGACAGATGATTTAAGATCTTATCATAAAATTTAATTTCGATATGTAAAAACAGACAAGATGATACCCTAAACATTAAAGAAAACAGAAAGCAAAGGCATGCATGATTTATTTTTGTAGGAAAATAGGTGGGTTTGATTGTGAAAGTGATCTCACATGGAGAAAAATCATTCATTCAAAGGTGCGCAATTGCAGGATGTTAGAAGGCATTTACAAAGAACCCTTTTTTGATAGATGACTTTTGTAGTGCTCTACACGTTCTCTTATGGATTCCACGATGACTTTTGTAGGGACAGCACATGCTATAGAGACCTAATCTCCGTTTCTATATCTACGAAAATTGAAATTATTATTGCAGTTAATAGTTCTAGATACGTAGCCAATTCATGCTGTAGTTTCTGCTTGGATTGAGGAATTATACACGTAAACTTGACATGAGTTGGCGATTTTCAGAGTAAATTACAATTTAATCCCTCTAGTTTTAGAAAGCGAATTGAATAATCCTTTTTGTCTAAAAAACTAATTAAATAATATTTTAACCGGTACTGACCGTAGTTAATTTAGTATTGTTTTGCTTCAAAAAATATTTTCTTTTCTCATTGATCTTTACTTATTTTTTTACTTAAAAAAGTTGAAAAAAAGAAAAGAAAAAGATTAAAGTATAAATAGATTTAAAAACATAGAGGCTAATTAACTGAGTTTTGAAACTTGAAAGACTATTTAATTTATTTCAAAAAACTAGGGGGTGCTAATTTATTGAAGAGGATGTTCTTTAAGCTGTCTGTCTGTCTGTCTGTCATGCTCACACTCACCTGATAGGTCGCAACTAACATTTTCAGAGTTGATGAACTTATTATTGTCCGGTTGTTGGATTAATACCTAACTGAAAATCACAACCTTAACAAACCTTGTCTCTTTGTAAGATCTCACCATTTTTTTTTAAGAGCTAAAATCTCACTTCTAATTTCTAAGCATTAGTTGTTTGGTAATTATTTTTAATGACGAGGTTATTTTCGAGTTGGTTTTTAGATATCGAGATTATTATTATTATTATTATTTTATCGATTATATTAGATAAATTATCCAATACGATAACAAACTGAGTTACCATCAAAATTAGAACTTCAAGACTGATTTCTTAATCATATTTCAGATATTGATAAAAAAGAAAAACTTCCTTAATTTTTCTTTCTCAGGGGAGTCATATATATTTTCCCCATTTTAATTTGATATGATTTGAGATAATTATGTGCTAACCCTAATTAATAAATGTCTAATTAAGTACCAGAGTTTTTCACTTTCCAAAATTGTCATCCAAGAAAAAGGTTCTTCAAGTAGTCCCATTTTCTTGATCCAGAATCATAGCAACAAAACATATTCTTAATTTTTCTCGTGTTATCCAGCTGACAAGGTTTAAGTAACCAAGAACCCCATGAATTCTGCATGAAATTGATATTGTATTTCAATGTATTACAATTCTTTATGACCTGTGAATCCATTATTTTATTGGTACAACAACTGCTCATGTGTGCATCAAGCATGTATCAAATAAAAATTTCCAGTAAGAATCTGCTATCTATCTATTTTACACAATCGTCCATGGTGGAAGCAAGCGGATTGCAAGGGCAAACAGCATCTGAAGTTATCAGAAAGTTAACCACCACACCCCTGATTGCATAATTAGTTGATATGACGGTCCGAGTCATCCTTTATACAGATGCAAGGACTAATGCCGCCGAGACTCTCGAATAAAATAGAACTTCTGCACCTAAATCCCCCACTTTTTTCTGGTTAATGTATGTGAGGATAAGAGGCAAGAGACGAGCTGGCCGAAATTGGAAGGGTGCTTGCTAGACGTGTCCTAGTCGACCCTCCTTTCTACCGCGAAAATGAGTTGGTAACTTCTGTTGTCTCTCAGCCTGAGACTTCACTTGATGAAGGTCGCGAGTCACAATTCTCAAAGGGTGTGCTTCAGTGTTAAATACCCATTCATCCATTGAGATAACAGACGGAGGAGAAAATAGGAGGTATAGATACTTGAGCGTCTCAGCAAGGAAGAAACTCTGCATCTTGTTGTCTTTGATTCCTGAGTTCACCTGAACAAATAGGCAAGAATAATTCAGTTCAAAACTTCATAATGCTTTGCTTCTAGGTTCTAATTTAGGATTATCCATCGAACAAAACCAAACAAGGCATTTCGAAATGGATATGAATACGACCAATACATTGAACAAAACCATTAACTTGCAACACAACTAAACAGCATGCAGAATGGGAAAAACCAGTGGTATTCAGGAGCTAGGTTCTGGATCGTACAATTTCTTGAATATGCAATTAAAGTAGTAGATAATTCAAGTCATGCCTTTCTGGAAACACATAATAGAATACATGAACTGGACTAGGATCATTATACGTGTGCATGTATGCAGGTGTCTGTTATATACTGTAACCCTACAATCTTTAAGTTAGAAAAATCTTACATCCGCAAGACCGACATATCCTGTCTCTATGCGGGAGTTCCTTTCAAATGCTTGAAAAATATTCCAGCCCCATTCTTGGTATGTCTTGTTTCCAGTGAAACGCCAGAGGTAAAAGAGTGACTCAACCGTCTCCGGCCTCAAAATGTTCCATGAAGTACCAACGTTCATGTCCTGCAATTTTTATTATATCTTTTTTTAGTATCAAGCACACAAGTAAACATCTTCCAATTTTCTTATCTAGAGGAGAGTATCAAACCTGTCCAGAGCGAAAGAGATAGTTCTCTCCAGCCAATTTTGTAGGTGTCAACTGGTAGAAATTATAACAAGTCCATGCAAGCTACATTTCAAAGCCAAAAATAAAATTAGATCAAGCCACCCAAATCTAAAGCTAATTAAAACAAGTGGACCACAAACAAAATAACTATGCACCAGTCAGATAAGTACATTAGAATGCCATGAAACTGGACCAGCATATTCAAGTTCTTAGTCACATATTTTTGCCTATATGCTGCTTTAAACACTTTTGCTTGTATGATGGGCCTCCCCTTTTGGCTAGGCAAGCAAGCTTTCTGCAAATGCATCCTTGAGGTTACCTAGTAATATCAATAGCAGTAAAGACAAGGATGATGGTGGTGATTGTGCTATTTTACACCTTTCTCCTTGTTACTGCATTTTTCTTGAAATAAACATGACTCTACCTCAACAGAAGCATATTTTCAATGCGGTTTCGTCACTTGAACTCTTTACATACTGCCAAATAACCTACTGTACACACACCCAAGCATTTCCCAGTCACTTCATCTAGATTCCCATGTTGCATCTGCCACACAAAATTATGTCCCATAAACCTAGTTTCACAAAATTCTGTCTGCCTTCAGCCATCTTCTATCCGTCTCAACAGTATTGTGAAAGACACTTAATCATTGGTCTAAAAGTAAAAAAAAAAATAATAATGTAAACTTACCATAATTCCCTAGTATTCCTATAGGCCATAACTAGTAAGCTTGATACGAACATCCATTATTATCTGTTAAAATAAAGCAGTTTTCAAGACCAGTTCGGCAACACTATGCATCCATTTTGCTTTTAAAATCAAAATATCTCTAAATTCAACAAACGATATTTAAATTCTCTTTTTTTATGCCATGGAAATGCATTTGGAAAATTGAAGGCACACCGACACAAGCAGCAGACTGTTGATACATGGCATTACAAACTTCATTCAAATTCCTGTACGATCAATACCATCCAGTGGTCAGGATCCTTCATAGGCTAATGGCTTTGGGGCATGATAGAAGAGATTCCTTAAGCTTCAGAAGATCAAGGTAACCCTCTTCCAATAAGCTTTGAATTCATATATTATCATATCTTTATAAATTTGCACCACCATAAACTTTGTTTCTCATAAGCTTCACAAAAGATTCATAATTCATTTGAAAATTCAGCAATCATTGGAATTTCTCCTGGTTGCCTTAAAACTTCTTCAGAGCTGCTTATCTCATAAGCTGTAATATTCTAAATTTATTTATTTTAAGACTTTGAACACACCATATACTCAGTTGCTAGATCCAAGAAACTCTGTTTTATATACTCACTCGATACAATTAGCTTGGTGTATTGCAGTGCAAACTGATACCAAATTGACTAGAAAACAAGCATACAACTGCATATGATGATGACAACAAAACAATAAATATTAAGACTAGTTCTTGATTGATACCTCTTCTGCAAGTGATAAAACTTTTTCGGCCTCGCCAGGGCCATAACCTTTAGATCCTAAAGCCAGCATGCCAGGAGCAAAGCATGCCAATTCATCCATCTACATATATGAAGAAATAAAGCACTTGAAAGACCACATAACAATTTAGTCATCAAATAGTTAAAAGAAAAAAATTCCTCAAATTATTTGACTACCTTGTCAGAAAACGAATTTCCATTCTTCTCACAAAGGTATGTGAAGGAAGATGGGGTTGTTCTGCGAACCAAGCTTTGGAGACCTTTCATTGAAGTCTCCCACATTTCCCTGTTCTCAGTATTCATTAACACAGATTTTGTCAAAGTAGAGATTCATTTGAGAGTTCTCAAAATGCAAAATATCATGTAATCATCACAAAAAGATGATGGAAATAATATTCAAAGCTCATCTTTATCACAATGGTTCAGTAAGCAATTGAAGAAACTGAACACTGCATCTTAAGTTCAATACTTAACATTGATTTGCCAAGAAAACAAGCGAATGCCATAAATTTTTCATCACAGAAATTAACATACAAGGGAACTCAAATCATGCATGCTACTGTATGGCATGGCACTAGCACTTCTACAAGCTTTGCAAAAATAAAATTGTTGAGGTGAGAGACAGAGCTATCGGTGTCTTCATGGCAGCAGAAACAATAAATTAGTCTAGTGACCTATAATTTTATCATACAACAAACATATATTTCTCCTACAGGTTATAGATTAGCAGTAAGAAATTTTCATCATCTTTCATGTAACACCACGATTTTTGGGATTTTGTCCATTCCTAGTAAACAGCTCACAGAATTACAAGCTTTTCAAGTGAACTTGCACAATATCAATGCTTATCATGTAAGAACTGGTAGACTACCTGTAGTGCTTTACAGCTTCTGTTTTGTTCCCTTGTACCCAGACCTTTAGTAAATACTCATAAAAACTGCAAAAAAGCAAAATTTTGTTATTTATGCTTGAATTAAGAAGCCATAGATAACACATTCTGGAGTTGTTTTATGCTAAAAGAACCATTCAGTCAAGAAAGTTAAGCTGTTAGAAAGGTTTAACAATGTCCATAACGATCCCCCTCAAGAGCAGGTCACCAAGCCCGATGATCAATCGAACAAAAGGAATTAATTCATTTGGGTGGTCTTGTAGATTGTCTACCAAATCAAACATTTGGTCAAATAGCTTGCAGTACCAAGTACAATGTTATGGCACTTTCTAACAGGTCAAACTATTGAAGTAGATTGTTGCCAACAATAAACATACAAAGATAGGAATGAATACAATAGAACATTTTATGTCTGGTATAGAAAAGATCACAAGCACCACTTCCTAAATGAATCATGTCAACATTTGATCATATGGCATCTAAGTAGCAAATTCAAGTTGCATAAAATACGGTTTCTTTAAGACAGGCACAGAATATATTAAACATAGACGAGAAGATCAATATCTTGTTCTATATTTGTATTAGTTGGGTTTGATGGTCTGATGATATATGACAGAATGGTCTGATGATACTTTTCTAGCAGTGACAGATGTTATAAAAAGGAAAATAGTCTGTAAAATCAATTCTGCAACTAATAGCATCTTAAATATGAAAATATGGATTGATACCTATCCCCCATGGCACCAAATGTTATCGGTGAGTATGCAGCTGTTCCAGAGTGAGGATTAATATATATGGGAAGTAAACCATCAACTGGAAGGGTTTTCCGAAGCTCTTCTATGACTTTCTCTACCTGAAATATCAGTGCACAGAAAAACTTACCCAAGGCATATCACAAAACACTCTAGTTCTACATCTATTATTACCATGCTTTCTTTGGGAATCACCTATCACATATGAAAGTTGCCAAATAATTGCTTCAACTAAAGCACCAAAGAGCTTGTAACCCAGTGGTAGTGGTCTCTTGCAACAAGAGGTCATGGGTTCAAATCCTAACAGATTAGTTCTGCTAAGAGCCTTGGGTGTGTGAGTAAAAAAAAAAAAAAAAAAAATTGCTTCAACTAAAATAACATGATTCAAACTGACAAAAGTGACATTTCCAGATACACAACCATGACAGTACAAATACCTTATCCAGGTATTTTGGGTCTTTTGTTCTTTGAGATAAAGCAATGAATTCAAGCTGCTCTGTCCCAGAATCTGCCAGGATGCTATTTCCCTACAAAACACAGAATGTTAAGAGTTAATGAGCATTGAGTATGTTTTTAATTCTCAAGCTCACGACTTAGCAGGCTTCTCAGTGCATTCCGTGAACAGATTACAAAGTAACGAATAATCCGGGAGGGAAATTACCCCAGCCCACCTATGGTTGTGGGCATTTCCGTGCACTAAATTAATCATATTATAGGGAATTCCTGTAGGTGTATTCCATGCTGGCAGCAATCTATCTGCAATATCTTTAGCCTTTTCAAGAAAAACTTTGTCGCCAGAAAGATCAAAAGCACTGAGAAGCCCTCCTACAACTCTGGACACAAAAAAAGTGGACGAGATTTAAAGCAGCATCAAACATGAATATGCTCTTGCAAAATACAATCCAACTGAAAAAATCAAATATTAAACCTTCTAATGCAACCTTATGGTTGTCTCAAACACACTAGCCTCATAATCCTTGTTGAAATCCAATGAGTGTGCAACCCACCTGCAATAATGTAATGTACAGCTAGCTTATGTACAACAATTTCCTAAATACAGAAACCAAATAATTTACAAAATTACCAAATTAAAACCATAGTAATTCCCACTTTGGGACGAGTTTCAAGAAATAGTAACTTACTCTCTAGCTCTCTGAAACTGCTCATGAAGACCCATTATATATAGTGTATCAAGAGAATCTATCAGAGTTGCTCCAATACCACCAAAGCTGTCAGCACCATTCTTTGTTTGTGGCTGTTTAGAATCAGAATTGATTCATTAGTTACATAATTGACTCCCTCACCCCACCCCTATAACAGGCAAAAAGGACAACTTTTTCTAAAGAAACTACACTCATACACTAAAATTCCAGGAAAAAAAAAAAAAAAGGTCCTTAGTACTAAAAATTTTGAACTTGATCAAGAAATTATAATATTCCACAAAACACTGAAACCCAGTAAAATTCTGCGAATGAAAACAAAAAAGAAAACAGACCTGAAGTTCATCCTGGCCCCAAGCATACTTCTCATAAGAATTCCACGCATGAAGCATAGCTTCTTTAACTTTCTCTCTTCTTTCAAAACTAACAGGATCATCGCCATCTTTACTGATGCTTGAAATGTCTAAACCTGTCGACCCTTTATCCCTGACCTTCAAATCTTCAAGCTGAAGCTTTAGCTGTTTCAATTCATTATTCAATCTCAAAACCACTTCGTGGTGATCTCTGGTAAGAGATTGACGGTCAGAAACAAGCAAAACAAGAGAGACAAATCCAAAGATGACAAGAACAAGTTGTTGGGGTTTCTTCAAGTAGTGTTTTGGATTAAATATTGATCCAGAAGTGGGAGTTGAAGATTTCTTTCCCATCTTGGATTAAAAATTTAGACACAAACACAGATTTTGGGAGAGAGAAAATCATGAGATTCTTTCCCTTCTTAACTTGTTCAAGTGCTTCTTCCTGGGTCAATACAAAACTAAATTCTTCGGACAATGTTGTTATGTGATTTGTCTTTTTCTTTTGGGCAAACCTCGTATTACTCTCCTAACTAACCATTAATTGTCAACTAGGTCCCCAAACTATTAATTTTATGAAGTGGATCCTAAAGTGCTAGAAATTCCTCCATCCTGTCTATGTTCTTTAACATTTACGTCTAAATGCATATATTATGCAATAAATTGTTGCAATTTTGAGGGTTCAATTTCACTAAAAGATCAAAGATAAATAACAAGTGAAAATTAATCTAAAAGATAAAAAATTTGCTATAAGGCTAAGCTTTTATAAGAAGGTATAATACTTAAACCATATAAAACAATTGAAAACAAATGACATCAATCCTTATAAAAAAGAAAATGATGGCAAGAAAGTAGAATAGGAACACACAAATTATTTCGATTTATTGATTCTTTGAGTATTTTATCTAAATTTGGTATAAACAATTATATTTTTTATAATATATTTGAGTTAAATTTTGATGACGATTAGTTTTTTTAGTTTTTCTATCATTATAGGATAACTGTTTACAACACATTTTGGTGTCTCTAAAGGTAGGGAAGCTTATATAGCTTCACCGAGAGACCCATCGAGAAATGTATCCTATAGCAAGACACAATTGAGAAAATTGATAGTTTAAGGACTACATTAAGGATTCGTTTTTTGGTTGAGGACTAATATTTAGTCAAATAATTGTAGTCTTTGTTTGAAATGGTTGCTCCTCTCCTTTTGCTTGCGCTAATGACGCAATAATTGTTGGCGTTTAAAGAAAGTTATTCCTTAGGAAGAAAAAGACATAAGGTCGTCGATGCCTGTTGTTGGCCCGCTTTAAAGGTAACATAGATATACTTTTCTTTTCCCTTTTTTTATTCTTTTAGGGTTTTTTTTTAAAAAAAGAATTTGCTATTAAGTTGATTACAAAACCAGAAATAATCCATTCTCTTCTTTAATCCCTTTTTTCCCCATATACTAAACCCAATTTGACCCCAAATGACTAATGTCAAAGATCCGGTCGTCTCAGAGAGGAATGGCTGGATTTCTTGAAAGTCACTCACCCTTTGTATATTATGGCAGTTGGTAGTTAGCTGCAATATATATATATAAAGACAGGACTGAACAAGAATTCAACTGCCAAAAACAGTTTATCTGAAGTAAGCATACTTGAAACAGTAATGAAGGTTATCATTTGATTGCAGAATGTAAGAGGAACTTGAAAGGCATAAAGATCTCTCTAATTCATTTACTTTGTGCAACCAATGCTAGATGGTCTACAGCTTCTCACGGTAAAGTTCAATCTTGTTTGATGTTATATACCGGTAGGTGCAGTGAAGTTTCCACAAGATATGTGTATGCTTATGGCCTTATCCTAACAGATTTCTACAGACAGAAATCTAATAAAGTTTGAGTTGAATCTAGCTACTGAATCATTTACCATTCGTTAGCCCTCTTCTAAACGACAAAGCTTCCTTTTCAGAATTTCGTTCTCCTTTCTCAGTTTCATAATCTTCTGTTTAAGTGTTTCAACAAGTCGACTGGAAGCCAAATCTTGCTGATGTTCAACCTGCTTTGTTTTGCTGATCAGCACTGCAATTAACCAGGGAAACCATTCACATCCATGGCATATCAAAGTAGCCTCAAATACTCAAGAAGAAACATATTTTGAGCAAGAAAACATATACGAAGTTATACAGAAGCATATAAATGTATTAGGCATAGAAAGATAACACACTTACATTCCTTTTCCAAACCCTTAACTTTCTTATTCAACTCATTTTTCTCTTCCTGTTCAACCATGAGGCAATCCTTCAAATCCTGAAGCTCAAGATGATCTGTCACATAATGATTGGTAAAGTTCAATCATTTCCTTAAAACAATAAAATCCAACTAAAAGTTTTGAGAATTCTTGACAAAACTATGAACCTCACATTTTGATTCCACCTCGAAAGCCACACGGTCCAACCTGTTTGCTAGAGTTTGCATATGAGCTTTATGCGCAGCTAAATCTTGTCTGAGGTGATTCACAGTTGCTTCATTTGTTGCCTTCTCAAGTAGAAAGCCTCTAACAAACATAATCACCGAAAAGCATCAATTAATAATTGACCGTAAAAGAATTAAACATAGCTGGGGAACATATTTGCAGTAACGGCAAACTCACCTGATTTGGGTCTCTAATTCTCCAACCTTAGCAGCATACTCTTTCTTACACAATTCCATTTCCTTCTTATGCTCCTGCTCACATATTTCAGCATCTTAATTTAAGTCTTGTCCATAATCTGCATCATGAAATCAGACATCCTTGAACTACATGAAACCATACCCATCCCGTCACAGATTATCATCTCCCACAGGTTCTTAAATTCTATACAAGAAATTGAGCTCCAAATTTCTATACTGTTTGTAGGACAGCATTGAAAATATATGAGTAATGCTATTCATTCCGAAATATCCATATCCAACGAGTTTCTGAACATTATCAACCGTTGATAGGGTGGATTCAACAAGTGAGTCCGACATGACACTAACCATCAACTCGTTGACATTATTCGTGAACTCATTCAGAATTGAATCATAAATTTCGCAACATCAAGCTCAATATAGGACTTTGATCTACCCACAACCAATAAGAGACTCGGGGCATCATTAAGTGTAAAATTAACTTACATCCTCTTTGCTAATTTGCTCATCTTTCAATCTTTTTAGCTCCTCATTCAAGCTTAGACATTTTGTACGGCGTTCAAGCTGTATCACATAAATTCAAGCAACATAAAAATTAGTGTTACTTTCATTTTTTCTCTTTTTCAATCAATTCTGCTTTACTTTTTTAGGGATTAAAATTAGGCAACAAGTTAAAACTCCTGGTTTAATAATTAACAAAATTGCATATACCTGTTCAGCTAGATTGTTTAAAGATCCTGTGTACAGCTTTGTAAGTCTCTCATTTTCTGCAAATAATAATAATAATAATTCTCAAAAAAAAAAAAAAAAAAACAATTGAGAGAAAAATTACGAGAGAGATTAAACGGTAACAAAGAAAAAGTAACCTTGATTAAGAGATTTGCAAGTGAATTCGAGCGCTTCTCTTTTCTTAATCTCTGCATTCCAATTTGATCTCAGTGTTTGAATCTCCGTAATTCCGCTCTTAAAATCCTTAAAAAAAATAAATAATAATAAATAAATAAATAAACGAAATTGTCCAAATTTTCTCTCGGTTTCTAAGTAACCAAACAGGAAATAGAAAATAATTTTTTGGTGCCTCGTAAATATGATCGAAGGTGGAGAGAAGCGAATTGATTTCTTCGTCACGCGTTGCCGCCATTTTCAATCTCTGCTTTTTCGAAAAAGAAAAAAGTAAGCAAAAATTCCCTCTAAATGCTTTGGGTGTATATATAGTCTTGAATTGGGCTTTGCCAATTTCAATGGGCTTTTTTTGGTCTGGAAGTTCGCTAGAGTTGGGCCTTTCCATTGCTTTTGAAATTGGGCTTTAGTTATCAATCCCCAAACCCAAGTATTATAGCCCAAAAATCCATAAAATAATGTGGATTTAGATCTTTGGTAGTCCCTGCTTGTTGTAGTTTTTCCTTTCTACAGAGAGAGAGAGAATTGATGATTATTTCTAGCTAAGTGGGGCAGATTGATTTTGCAGTTTTGGATCTTCCATCCACGGAGTATGATGTGCGATTCATTCTTTCGTTGATTTATAATAGCTTAAATTTTTTATATACGTCCGACATAATTAATTTTTACACAAACAATCTAAATTTAAAAAATTTTAAGAATTTAATTTATCGATCATACCATTAAACTAATAAAACGTTGTTAAAAAGACCATACGTCGGTGTTGTCGAAAACTCTTTCATATAGTAATTTATAATTTACGTTATTTTATTTTATCTCAATTAAATGTAACGAGAATAATGTCTTATTAGACTTTTTTTTTAATATTGATGAAATTACTATTTTTCTTTTTGAAAAAATAAAATCAATTAATATGTTGTCAAAAGGATATCTAACTTTTGATCAAACTCAACTTAATCTCTTACCTTTTGTTTTGTTTTTTTGATTTTTTTTTGGTCCGAACTATAATGTCAAAGCAATTGACTACCTCTGTTAAAAACAGATGGCTATAATGGCTATTTTGACGGGTTAAAAGCAGACCTAACAAAGCTATAATGACCACCTACGTTGTCAATCCTGAGAGTTCGAGAGATCAAAGTCAGAAAAAACGACAGAAGTCAAGTTGGATTTGACCAAAAATTTAGGGAATCTTTCGACCAATTGCCTGTTTTTTTCCAATCTGATCTACCTTTTTCTTTTCTATTCTATTCTTTTCTTTTCTTTTATATATATATAGTAATCTGCCTATTATTTTTGCTCCTGGTAATAAAAATAACAGAAAAAAAACCCAGCAAATTAAAGATGCGTTATCAATTATTATATTCTCAGTGAACTACCAAAATGCTGTTAAATATAGCCTGAATATATCTTCAATCATGCTCAATTTGCAGACATATAGGGTCATTGGCATATATTTTCAGATGGCAGAAAGTTGTTGCAGTTTTACAAGTGAGAAATATGCACCCATTTCTCCTTTACGCATTAGCTCAAAATGATTTCCCTCTTCTACGATCCTACCTTTGTCAATCACAGCTATTTTATCAGCTTTCTGGATGGTGGATAGTCTATGAGCCACCACCAGGCATGTCCTGCCACTCATAGTCCTCTCCAATGCTTCCTGTACAAGCTTCTCTGAATTCACATCCAATGCACTTGTTGCTTCATCCAAAAGCAACATGGCTGGATTTTTCAAGATTGCTCGTGCCAGCGCGATTCTTTGCTTTTGCCCTCCTGATAGTTGCACGCCTCTTTCGCCGCAGTAGGTCTCGTATCCATCCTCCATGGAGCTGCCCAGCAAAGTAGTAAATTCAAGTGAAATTTAGTTTTGAATGGATAAGAGATGGAAAAAATTGTTAGGAGAAAAGTAAAGGAGAAAACGGCACCTGATAAAAGCATGAGCATTTGCAATAGTTGCTGCTTCGATTATTTCTGCTTCTGTTGCGTTCTCTTTTGCATATGCAATGTTGTCGCGGATTGTTCCTGCGAAAAGAGTAGGTTCCTGACTGACCAATGCGATATGCGACCTTAAAGCCCGCAGGTTATAACATGTGATGTTGATTGCGTCGACTTCGACTGAACCACTTGATGTGTCATAGAATCTCTCAATCAATTTAATGATGGTGGATTTTCCAGAGCCACTTCTTCCAACTATCGCGACAGCCTTTGCAGCATCGATTTTTAGGTTCAATCCTGTCATGATCATTTGTTTAGGTCTTGTGGGGTAGAAGAAATGAACCTGTTTAAACTCTATCTCTCCACTGATTTTTTCTGGTTTGATGCCATCTGAATCTTCAGGGTCTATTTTGGTGTTTGTTTTCAGAATCCTGAAAACTGACTCCAATGCACTGGTGCCTTTTGATAGGTCTGCTGTCATGGTTCCTGTCTCAGCTATAAGTCTTCCTGTTGACACCAGGATTAAAATTGTTTGAAAAAGGTGCTTGTATGTGATCTCTTGATGGTATAATAATCTTCCACCGTACCAGACAATTAGAGCCGGAATGGAACCCGTAATGAACTGTGAGATAAACAATCCGAATCCTGCATACCAAGACTGCCTACGACTTTCTTTCTTGGAACTTACCTGTGTAAGCTCAAATAGTTTTAAAATCTTTTCCTGAAAGCAGAATGCTGTAATAATTCTGTGGTTGAAAACAGCTTCGCTTGCTAATTCACTGCTCTCGTTCTGTGCTTCAAGTATTTTCTCAGACATTGTCCGCATTGTCATTGTACTAATGCAGAAGGCAGCAATGATACAGGGTTGCAGGGCAATAGCTACAAGCGCAAGTTTCCATGACAATATCAAACCTAAAACAACAGCCAAAGTTGCAGACGAAAAAGTCTGAGCCAGCATCGACAAGCGATCGGCAACAAGAGTTCTCACCATCGTGGCATCTGTCGCCAATCTTGAACATATGGCTCCACTGCTGTTGTTTTCTTGATCAAACCATTCAATCTCATATGTTAATATTTTGTCAAAAATTGCTTCTCTGACTCTTTTGGTCAAGTTTTCTCCCATTACTCCGAAATAGTAATGCTGAATCACATTGGTCAGGAAAGCAAAAACTGCGAAGGCTAAAAATGCGAAGCAATAAATTCTTGTTTGAGACTTTAGCTCATTGTGATCATTTGTGAAGTAAACTGCTAGAAGTGCAGCCATGCAGAATGAGTGCAATGGCTGAATTAGTCCGCAGGCAAGAGCGGCAATGCAACCTATCAGGGTTGGCTTCCACTCAGGAGCTGCCATGCTCATTAGTTGCCATAAGGAAGGGGAAATGTCCTTATCATCTTGCTGCTGGTTTCTTTTCTTCTCATTGCTAAAACTTTGAGAAAGACTTCTATCAGCCTTTTCTTCTGCCTCTGCAATTCCATTATCAAGAACAACAGAGCTGCTAGATCCAATATCTTGCTCTTTTGATGAAACTTCATCATCTACGAAGGTTCTCTGTAGCTGCACCATGACTGAGTATGGACCACTCAAGTTTAGCATAAGTTGCTCATGAGAGCCTGATTCTACCAATTTTCCTGATTGAATTACCGCAATCAAGTCCGCATTGCGAAGAGCAGACAGGCGGTGTGCAATGATAATAGTTGTTCGTCCTATCGAGGCTTGATTCAAAGCATCTTGGACAGCCTTTTCAGAATGAGAATCCAGTGCACTTGTTGCTTCATCAAGAAGAAGGATTCTTGGGTCCCTTAACAGTGCCCTTGCAATGGAGATCCTTTGTTTCTGCCCTTCAGACATTTGACTTCCCAATTGTCCCACCTAAAAGAAATTTAACATTGCAATTAGTAACTTCCAATTCTTAATTCTTCATCTTTTATTTCCTTCTTGTCTTCCTCTTGCCACTCTTAATTACCTAAACAGAAAGTTTATTACAAAAAAAATTACATGGATGAGGATGTTAGAGAAGATTATATAGTTTGGTTAAGACTTACCAGGGTGTTATATCCTTCAGGGAGTTGACAGATGAAGTTGTGAGCGTTAGCAGCTTTAGCGGCTTCGATGACCTCTTCCATTGAAGCCTCCTCTTCTCCAAAACAGATGTTTTCTTTGATTGAGGTAGCAAAAAGTATAGGCTCCTGGCTTACCAAGCCCATTTGACTTCTCAGCCATTTGAGCGGAAGGGTCTTAATGTCAACACCGTCTAGCAGGATCTGGCCCCTAAGAGGCTCATAGAATTTCACAAGCAAATTTATTACTGTTGATTTTCCTGATCCACTTCTGCCAACCAACCCAACAGTCTGGCCAGCCATCACTTTGAGATTGAACCTGCTTAACACCAAGCTCCCCGGTCTTGAAGGATACTCAAAATCTATATTTTGGAACTCCACTTCACCTTTAACTTCTGACATGATATTGCCTTGTTCTTCTGCAGAGTCAATGTCTGGGACTCGATGAATCATCTCAAATATCTTAGAAGCTGCCGTATTTGCCTCTATGAAGTACTTGACATTGATTAGAGCACCTCCTAGACCACTGCAAAGTTGCACTGTCATCATTTTCATAAGCTTTTCGGACATACGAAAGTAAAAACCTATTAACAGCTATAAGAATGCAGCATGTAACAGGAAATATTTAATTTGATTTTGGACATTGTTGTTGAAGTGATTCTATGTAGAACACAACTGGTAGCTAAATTTTCCAAATCCTCGCTGACCTCGCTGATCAGATTAAGATAGAAAAAATGGATGCAACTATTCTATGGATCATATTTTAATGCATTTGAATATCAAAACTTAGTGAACTTACAGTCCTCCATACACAATGCAAACTCCAGCAGTAAAAATGTCTCCCCCTTTTGCTTTCTTATTCATGACCAGAGTACTTCCATACCAGCCCTGAAGTGCCCACACTGCAAATGTAACGCCAATAGTACCGATGGCCAAACCTTTCATCAGTCCTTGTTTTATTCCAAGCCGTAAAGTTGGCTGTAACGACATCTTATAGGCTTTGGCCGTCCTTTCCTCTCCAACATAGGAGTAAACAGTCCTGATTGACGACACTGCTTGCTCCACTATTCCTCCTGCAACTTCGTAAGCTGCTTGAATCTTATTTCCAACATCACCTAAAAGCTTTGCGTAGACGAATCCTGCAATTACTAACATTGATAATGCAGGGATGGCAACTAGAGCCAGCCTCCAGCTGAGGTATAGAGCTGCAATTTGGGCCGTGACGAACAATGTTGTGTTCGTAATGAAATTCGCAATCTGATTCAAATTCCATGTCAAATTAACATAAGCTAAAAACCAAAACAAGAAGCTAGAAACTAATTTTACAGTAGTCTGAAATGAACTACGTCAAGTGAGGATAACGTTAGCACCTTCTCGGTAAGAACTCCTTGTATGGTAAGCGTGTCAGTTGAAATACCGGACACAACTTGAGATGCAACAGAAGCGCCATGATTTGCATCAAAGAAGCCAACATCTTGCCTTAACACAGCTTGCAAATATTGCTTACGTATTCGAAAAGTTTGCCTTTCTGCCGTACGAGCCCAACAAAATCCTTCTGTTGATAATCAAAATAATTAACAAGACAGAAGATTAGAAATCCATTATAAACGCAAGCATATAAAGTAACTTCAGGTTGGCTATGAGCTCAGACAATTTGAAAGAAGAAAAAGTACCAAGAAATGCGCCTGAGCCGACACCAAGAGCAACATAAATAAAGGCCAACGAAAACTGCAGCAAGAACGAAACGACTTTTATTAATGGAACAACCTTAACTCCTTAGTATGTTAATGTACTGTTTATGTAATGTAACTATAAAGTTGATTAATGTAGATTTAAACCAACCTGGTTTACTTCTTTAAGAGTGAAAGAGGCACCGCCATAACTGTTCATGAGACTGCTAAGAATCAGCATCATTAAAGCCATGGCAGATCCATCTGCAAGACTCCCTATTGATCCAAGTATCATCAATAGCATATCTTTCCAATCTGACTGATTCAAGACTGTCTTTAAAGACCCTGATGGTGCATTACTACTAATAGATTTTTCCTTTCCTTTAGATTTATTCCTCGAAAGTTTAGCATTTCTTTTTCTTGCTGAAATGTTCTCGGCCATTTTCAGGATAGTATTTCCAGCTAAGTTTTCTTGGGGAAATTAATGTTGATGAACTGCATTCGTGCAGGTTTCATGGTCAGTCATTATATGCTAAGGATTGCTAGTGACTCTTGTCTCTTGGTGTTTAGAATGTTCGAAAAACATTGGAATCCTCATTTAAAAATCATGCCTTGTGATCATCTATAATATACCTTTCTGCTGGAAGAAGGCTATCCTATGACATCAGAATCTTGCCATCCATTGTTGTTGCCGAACTCTGCCTGGGTCAGCTCGTTAGAACCACGTAATGATGTCTTTTTTTGTTCTTTTTTTTTTTTTTTGGGATTATCCATTTTGAAGAAATTTTAGCTTTAACTAGTGTTTCATTTTAGTTTAATCCGCTGCACTTCTTGTTCTCATTTTTGGCATTTTTTTATCTTTTCTTATTGAAGAAGAAATGTAAGAATAGGAGTATTTTGTCCAATCAGCCACTTGGAACCTGGCAAACTAAAAATTTTGGCCAATCAGCCGTTATTCATGCAAACCAAGGAGGAGTTACGCCTTTAGTAGAATAAACTATATATTAATTCCTTTACTTTTGAAAAATGAATTAATTAGTTTTTTTTTTCAAAAATTAATTATTTATCCCTTTTTATTCATTTTATGTTCTTTTCTAATTTTTTAAAGAAAAAAATAAATAGAGTATTATGGAAAAATTGATAAGAAAAAAAGACATTTTCTAGAATAAAGTAATCTTAAATTATACAAGATCAATAGTACTGATCAAGAAACTAAATAATAAATTTATTTCTTGAAACTAAAAAGACTAATTTATAATTCATTTGTCTCTAGTAACCTAAGAACATATATATATATATATATATATATATATATATATATATATATATATTTCTGCGTGTAGACAAAAAAAAAGATACAATTATCAGTATATATGATGCTTTTATGAAGCTAGAAATATGTTTGCTTTGTGTACCACAAAATACTATTATTAAATAGTTAAATATGTTGTTATATAATATTTCGAATTTTCAATCTGTCTCTCTATTTTTAATTGCATATATCGTGTCCTTAAAATAATTTTTAAGTTTCTAGTTTTGATCAACTTTTTCCGAACATGAGCAAATTTTTAATAGAAATGTCTCGAATTGAATTGCTGAAAGAAAAAAAATATATAGAAATTTTAAAAAATAAAACTTGCAAGTCATGTGTGGTTTTTTTTTTTAAAAAAATTTCTTTCAATAGCATTTTGGTAAAAAAAAATTGTCTATAGTCGAAAAAATTAATCTAAATGATAGATTGGAAACTTTTTGAACATAATTGATGCAATTAAAAATATGAAGACAAATTAAAGATTTGTGATATTATATAAAAACAAATCAAACTATTTATTCTTATTATGAAGCATCTTAGTTTGCTTTCTCCTTTGATTTTTTCAGTTCAAATTCTAGGCCAACATCCTAAAGATTAGTCTTTTAAATGCACTAGGCTGGTATTGTAAGTGCTGTTGGCCTAAGAATATACCTAACCGTGGAAAAAAAAATATTGGCAATTGCTCTTTTTTTTTTTTTTTTTTTTGAATATATTTTGGCAAGGTTTCAAATATTTCTACACAAATGTTGTGTTCAGGACTGGGGGACTTCAAGAATTTGATAAGAATGAAGTATAAATCTGCTTTTGAAGAGTTGAAAAAAGAAAAGAAAAGAAAAGAAAAGGCAGAATTCATAATCTCTCCATACAAGAGGAAGAGAAAGAGGTCTCCCTTGACTACAAGATCCAATGGCAGCATGATAACAAGGTTACATCCCCCTATTTTGATAGCTTGAGGTTGGCGTAATGTTTGAGACTTGAGAGTTGAGAGGGCAAGTTTCTACCCAGACCATCGGAATTCAAATCTCAAATCATCTACTCCAGTATTTTTCTCTAATACCGATGTTAAAATGCCATTGACAGAGAGATAGTGAAGCCAATATTATCCCTAACACATGTTGTAATCTTGTCTACGTATTTGAAAAGTTTGCCTTTCTGGCTTCTGCAGTTACAATGGCAGTAGTACAGGGAAGTTTCAATGAGTGAAGTGCAGACAATTTGAAGAGATGTAATACTAGAGAAGTGCTTATAAGCAAGAAGGCGGCAGAGATTCCAGTGCATCAATGTTTGTCATCTAGAACAAGCCGGCATTGGCAGATGAAGACAGCAAACATGGCAGATTTGACAAACATATTAAGATGGGAGTACCAAATACTATATTATACTTAGTGGATGGTCCCAAGAAATCTTGTTTGATGCTAGCTAGTTAATTCCAGGAGTTTTAGAGAAATTCACTAAAAAATCTTACCATAGAATATAAACCAGGAAACCTGTATGAATTTATTGATTAGCATCCAATGTTTTACAGAGTGCCGAGATCACAATAATAATATCATGTGCTTACACAGATAAGGTAAGGTTCAAAGAGCCAAAAGGACAACAATTTGTAAAGGTACTAAGTTCTTTCAAAGGTCAGGTTGGTTCTATCAGCGTCCTGAACACGAAAGTTTTGACAGTAACCTGATTATTTCCACTGATATGTAACTTACAAGCAGCATCGATAGAAATAAGCAAAAGATATTTCCTGAAGAATGGCAGAGCTGAGTTCAGAATCAAAGAAGGATGGACAGATATTGAGCAAGTGTGAAGTGAACCAAAAATCAAGTAGGACGCGATCTGGGTCATTGCTGACTGTGTTGAAGCAGTCAGATTGGAAGGATGTGTTGCTGATGGCACTTGGATCAATGGGGAGTGTAGCAGATGGATCGACCATGGCATTGATCATGATAATTCTGAGTGACCTCATGAACAGTTACGGCAGTGGTTCTGTCAGCATTGAAGATGTAAACAAGGTTGGATCACAGATATATTAATAGACTTTGGAACTATATTATAGAAGAAAAAAACATCAGAAACAGTTCTGGTATAAAAAAAATTAATAATTTTTTTGTGCATGTTAACAATGCAGTATGCCTTGTCCTTAACCTATGTTGCTGTTGGTGTTGCTTCAGGCTCATTTCTAGGTACTTCTGTTTCTCTTTTGCTTACCTACCTAAAAACACAATGTTCTTCAAGTGAGTTGATTTCTAGATACCAAACACTCTTCCACAGATTCACTTATCCTCCATTATTGTCTTTGATCATCAACAGTAGGATTCTGTTGGGCGCGCATGGCAGAAAGGAAAACTTTTCGACTTCGCAGACAATATCTAAAAGCTGTGTTGCGGCAAGATGCTGGCTTCTTTGATACAAACCAGGGCGAATCTCGCACATCTCAAATAGTTTCCAATATTTCAATTGACACAGTTACCAAACAAGGAGTTCTTACAGAGAAGGTGCATGCATTTCCCTCATTTAACATTGTTAAATTGAGGTTCCTGCTGCTTCTTTTATTTAGTTTCTTTTAGCATGCCAACATTGACATACAATTTGAATCACAGACTGCCAATTTCATCTCAAACTTAACAACGTTCATCACAGGCCAACTGGCTGCTTTATACCTCAGCTGTAGACTAGCTACAGTCGCTATCCCAGCGTTGTTAATGTTAATCATTCCCGGATTAGTATATGGGAAGCTCCTAGGTGAGGTTCGAAAGATGATGCAAGAAGCTTATGAAGTTGCAGGAGGGATAGTAGAGCAAGCAGTGTCATCCGTCAGGACAGTTTAAACCTATGTCGGAGAGGAGAGGACAAGCAAAGGACTATAACATTGCATTAGAACCAACTTTTAAGCTTGGGATCAAACAAGGACTGATGAAAGGTATGGCCATTGGTACTATCGGCATTACATATGCAGTGTGCGCACTTCAAGGCTGGTATGAAGTACTCTGATCATAAATGAAGGAGCCAGAGGAGGAAATGTTTTCATAGACGGAGTGTGGGAGGACTGTAACTTCATTACACTTCTAACATTCTGTCCCTTCAATGTAGACTTAAAACTTCAATAACAATGTCTCGATAAACTCATTGCCACCAATAGTTCTTTCACTTTCATTTCAGTCAGAAACTGTCGAAACTGACGTAGACGTCAACCTTGCAGTGCTCTGGGGGCTTCTCTAATGAATGTGAAGTACTTCATAGAGGCAAACACTGCTGCTTATCGGATATTTGACATGATTTATCGAGTCCCAGAGATCGACCCATAACCATAGCAGATATTAAAGGTGAAGTGGAATTTAGAGACATAGACTTTGAGTATCCTTCAAGACCAGGGAGCTTGGTATTAAGCAAGTTTAATCTTAAAGTCATGGCTGATCAGACTGTTGGGCTGGTAGGAAAAAGTGGATCAGGCAAATCAACGGTTATAAATTTTCTGGAAAGATTTTATGAACCTCTTGGGGGAGACATTCTCCTAGATGGTATCAATATAAAAACGCTTAAGCTGAAATGGTTGCGAAATCAAATGGGCTCGTAAGTCGTAAGCCAGGGGCCTGTACTTTTAGCAACCTCAATCAAAGAAAACATTCTTTTTGGAAAAGAGGAGGCTTCCATGGAAGTGGAAATCAGAGCAGCCAAAGCTGCTAATGCACACAACTTCATCCATAAACTACCTGATATAACACTCCGGTAAGTCCTTACTATAGGATTATCTCTGATATTAGTTTTTATCAACCTGTTAATACTCCTTATAACCATTTCTGACAACTTTACATCCTCATCCTAATAAGCAACTCTTTAAGGTAACTAAGAATGGGAAGGTACTGATGTTTAGGCCAATCTTACATACTTTTCAGGTGGGACAATTGGAAACTCAAATGTCTGAAGGGCAGAAACACCAACTTAATTGGTGCCTTCTATCTGAGAGCGATGACAATGCGAACAATGTCTAAGAAGATGCTTTTAAGGCACAGAAACGGAGCAGTAACTTAGCTAGTGAGGCAGTTGGGAACCACAGAACTATTTCAGCATTCTGCTCCGAAGACAATGTTTTAAAACTATATGAACTTACACAGGTAAGCTCCAAGAAAGAAAGCCACAAGCAACCTTGGTATGCAGGAGTTGGATTGTTCATCTCACAGTTCCTTACAAGTGCTCTTACAGCTCTAATTTTCTGGTACGGTGGACGGTTGTTATTCCATCAAAAGATCACAGCCAAGCATCTCTTTCGAACATTTTTCATTCTGGTATCGACAGGGAGAATTATAGCAGAAGGGGCAAGTATGACAGCAGACATATCAAAAGTACTAGTTCATTGAAGTCGGCTTTTAAGATTCTGCAAAGAGGGACTAAAATGAACCTGGAAAATTCAGTTGCTATCAAGCCAGAAAACATTAATGGAGACATAGAGTTCAAACAGGTGTATTTCTCCTACCCAGCAAGACCAGAACAGATCATCATGAGGGGTTTAAGCCTAAAAATTGAAGCCGAAAAGGTTGTTGGACTAGTTGGAAGAAGTGGGGCTCGAAAATCCACCACCATCAGATTAATTGAGAGATTCTATGACACATTGAGTGTTTCAGTTGAAATTGACGAGATTGACATCAAATTCTATAACTTAAGGGCTTTGAGGTCACATATGGCATTAGTAAGTCAGGAACCAGCCTTTTTCTCAGGAACAATCCGTGACAACATTGGGTACGCAAAAGAGAATGCAACTGAAGCAGAGATAATTGAAGCAGCAACCTCTGCAAATGCTCATGATTTTATAAGGTCCATTTCCTACTTCTTGTCCTTCTTTATAATCTTCTTTTTCCCTTATCCATTCAGAATCTAAATTTGATCAAACTACTACTTCGATGAGAAGCTACGTGAAGGATGGGTACGAGACCTACTGCGGAGAAAGAGGTGTGCAACTATCAGGAGGGCAAAAGCAAAGGATAGCACTCGCTCGAGCCATATTGAAAAATCCTGCAATATTCCTTTTGGATGAAGCAACAAGTGCAGTGGACGTTAATTCAGAGAAACTTGTTCAAGAGGCACTGGATAGAACCATGCTTGGCAGGACATGCCTAGTTGTGGCTCATAGACTATCTACCATTCAGAAGGCAAATAAACTAGTAGTGATAGACCAAGGAACTGGAAGGGTCATAGAAGAGGGGAATCACAGTGAGCTGCTTGCTGAAGGAGCAAAGCGTGCATATTACTCGCTCGTAAAACTCCAACAACTTTCGGAGCAATCTACATTTGAAGAATAGCCTTTAACATTTCGGAGCTGTCTACAAGTAGCGGATCACGATAAAGGGCATATTTAGGCTATCTGGAAACAGCTTTTTTAATTTGTATGCAGATGCTAAAAAGCATTTCTGATTCGCAAACGTGTTGTTATTGTTATGTGTCTTGGTTACAGAAGTATCTGTGAAATAGAATCAAGCCTAGGAAAGAATGGTTACAGAAGTAGTGAATCATGCTTGTGCTTGGAGAAATTTATCTATAGACAATGTCAGTCTTGAATTCTTTCAGACAAAACTACTATCCCAAATTCCCAATGTCTGTTACTCTTACTGCTCATCATCGTTTTCTCACTTTTGATCCTCGCGGACTATCAGGAAGGTTTCTCGAAAGACAAACACTTAAGTTGGCTTCTCACATCAAGTTTGCGCAGATAATTTTATCATGGCAGTATGCAACTATAACATAAACAGCAGAACAAGAACATATACCACAATCTGATTAAGACAAGATATATTGATACCTGCAATCAAGTCATCTTGACTGATGCAGCTCCATAAGACTTGTTCATAAATTGCTCAACTTCTCATCATCAAGACGCTTCCCGGTCCTGATCGTCTCCTTTCCCATCTAAGACCTCTGATCACTCTTCTCAAACCTCTGCCAAGAGATTAATATCCTGTTTTTGGTCCTGTTAGTTAGCTTCCTCTTCTCAATCAACTTGGAGAACTTAGCAGTTGGAAATGAAATACGAAAAAGTGCAAGCGTCGAATAACTTATCAAAACCATGGTTTGGTTTGATCCAATTTGCTGTGTTTCTTATACCTGATATCCTTTTCAAACATCATGAAGCTAACAAAGTTGCGATTCCGTAATCCATCCGAATTCATCGACAACCTCCCTGTCTTGGCTGTTGAGAAGGAAAAGAATGAGAAGACTGCGATTCGCAAATGGGAACCTGGAGCACCATAAAATAAGAGCAAATGCACAAATACAGGTTCGGCAGCATCAAGAGTGCTTGGTTCAAATATATCAGCTCCTCCTATTCACAAGAACTGGATGAAAATTATACTTCAATCAAACAACTACAACTACAACCAAGCCTCAATCTCAAACTAGTCAGGGTCGGCTATACCAAATCCACCTCAATATCGAGAGATTTGGCAATCTTTATTGAGGAAATTTCCAATTCCAATAATAACAAGAGGAAGCAAGAAAAAATCAGCGAAAAGGGCCATTTTCTTTCATCATGAACGGGTCATTAGGCCAATTCATAACTCTAATTAACTTCCACTTAGATCATCAGCAGATAAACATATCCATTCAAAACCGAAACATGCTAACAAAATTGAGTCATTTTTTTTTCTATCAATATATTGGAATGGAAAGAGGCAGAAAGAAAATGGCTAAAAGATGAGTTCAAAATACAAAGTAAATAAATAATCTAAGCGACAGCCGGTAAAAAATAGAACTAAACTAAACTAACCTATCCATAGAAACTGAAACTATCAATTCTAAGAGCCCAACTGACGAATTCTTAACGAATTTTTCCACCTTTTAATACAACTTTTAGTCATTTACTTATCAGACACACTATGAACACAAAACCGATTACAAGAAACCAAAACTCACCAGAAAGCCATTACAGCTAGCTAGCTAGAACATGGAAAGGAATAAAAAGGACTGAAAAACAAACCCAAATGAACGTAAACAGAATAGAACCTGAAGGTGTCATCTCAGCTGAAACAGAGGAGGAGATATGGGGATCTTCTTAATATTTTTTTTGTGAGCATTTGTGTGTGGAGAAATATGAGAATGGGATGTTTCGGTGTCAACGAGATCCAGAAGCTTGTGTCAATATGAGTAAAAAGTTAGCGTAAACCGTCTCAGCATTTATCTTTTTCCTTCTTGTCCATTGCATGAGAAGAAGATACGGTCCCAAAGAGCGTCAAGCTTTGCGCGTTCTTGTGCAGGAGTAAATTACAAATTAGTCCCTCTATGTTTTATAAACGAATTAATTAGTCTTTTTTTATTTCACAAAATTATTATTTAATCCCCGTATTTTTTAAATTTTCTTTTAATTTAATCATTTTCATTATTTTCAATTTATTTTTATTTTTTATTTTATTAAATAGAAAAAAAAATAACTTGAGATTTTAATTCAAGGAAACCATTAGCTAGCCCTTTATGTTTTTAGTTTGTAGTGACTAAATTGAAAAATGTTGTACAATTTTCCTGAGCCCAATGAATGTTCCAGTAATGGTGTTTTGTCAGGCTTATTAAAGGGCCTTCTTGTGTTTAAATGGTCCACTAAATCTTATGGATCCTAGACTGGGCCTTTCTATTGTTAATGAGCTAGGCTTATTTGCTCTATTTCTGGGCTAGGCCTGGTTGCAGTATTTTGTTAGGGCAAAAAAAAAAAAAAGAAAAGAAAAGAAGAAGAAGAAGACAAGTTGATATGTCACAATTTTTTTATTTTTTTTTTATAATTGATTATGTCACATTTCTAAGAAACTAAATTGCTGTTCAATCTACATGCAGATAACGGGGCCCAAAGGCTATTGCAATAATGGGCTTTTACAAGATGTTGATGGGCCTACCATTGCCTAAGACAAAATGGAACATAGTCCACTAAGCAATATAGTATTTTGGGCTTAGACTTTCAGATTGTAAGAGAGTTAGGTTTTTTGGTCTGGTTTTCGGGCTGGGCCTCATCGGTATATTTTGGACTTTCGAATAAAATGACCAAATTTTGTTCACATGAACCAAATGGCAACCATTGTAAATGATTGTTAATAGGAATTCCTGTTTTTCATTGAAAATAATTGGTGTTTCAAAGCAAATATTTGGATATTAGCAGGGATAAAAATAGAATCTTGAATACTTATTTTATTTGATTCAATAAATACCTATAAAAAAATATAATATTTAATGCACATCGAGAAAAATAAAAGTGAAAATAATAATGCTCGTTAATATGATTTTTAGATATGAATATCCACATTATATTTTATTAATACCCATTAATTTTTATGTATGGATCTGATTACATAATTTTATAAAATATGAACTAAAATATCTTTTTTATGAAATTTGAGGACCAAAGAATTTATAAATAAAGAATCAAATTATAAAAATTAATTTTAATGCCCAAAATAACTTTAAAAAAATTACAAGAATTAAAATAAAATATTTTAATAAAATATTTTTATATTGATAAACCGAGTATGGATGGAATATAAATTTTGAAGGAATATTTCTTAATAGGTTCTGAAGGGATATTTCTTAATAGGCGTGAGCATGATATATATATGAGTAAAATAATGGATTAAATTAATCAATAGGATACACGATTAGTTTGCATTTCCCAAGCGTAACCAATTTTTAATTATAACTTTTGTGTTTTAATCAAATACTAATATTATGTGAATGATATTATAAAATGTGAAGTGAAAAGAAAGATGGAGAGAAAAAGAAAACTCAAAATAAAAACCATATATTATACTTTAATTTCACATCAATGAAATTCTCATAAAACTCTTAGAGTCAGTAATAAATAAAGCAATAACTTTAACGTTTCATTTTCAAATTATATTTTTATCATGATTTGCATAAATAGATTTCAAATCATATGATAGTAATTTATCCGTAAATAAACGTCTATTTATAAATAAGATCTAAAATTTTATTTTTATAACTAATATTTTTTAAAATTTATTTTTAAAAATGATTAGTTTCCAAATATTCAAAAACTGATTCGAAAAGATATTTATTGTTGCAACTAAAAAAATAAAATAAATAGATTTCAACCTTTTTGTATATTTTTTTTGAAGTAACTTTTTATAATATAGTAATAACCCAAAATTTGAATTAATGGAGATTTAGTTGCATTTATTATACTAAAATTGGAAAATCATTCTTTTTTAAACAAACTCCACCAATTTTCCATAAAAAAACATCATAGAATAAAATTATACTATTTCCATATCCAATCATTTTCAATAAATAGACTTAAAAAGGTAAAATTATATTACATTCTTAAAAAGGTAAAATTTATAAGCAATTAGAAACAGTCAAACAGAAACTTTGCCATCCTCCTCCTTCTCAATTCTTGGAAAGCTAGGTAGCTAGCTGGTTAGAAGAATGGAAATGCTCTACTCTCTTCTCTATCTAACCTTAATCCTCGCAATTCTTTTCTCTCTACACACCCAAATTGCTCACAAATTACTCATAGGCCACCACCCGCTTCACGTCAAGAGATCCCCACATCTCCCTCTCAGGTTCAGCTCTGATGGCACCTTCAAAATCCTTCAGGTTCTTTGATTTCCTCTCTTTTCTGTTCTTGTTCTTGTTTTATCTGTGATGGGTTTCTTGGGAAATGTAATGTGACTGACTTGTAAAAGTAAGCAGGTGGCTGATATGCATTTTGGAACTGGGATGGTGACAAGTTGCAGAGATGTGTTGTCTTCTGAGTTTGCTTACTGTTCTGATCTTAACACCACTCGTTTTCTTAAGAGGATCATTGAATTCGAGAAGCCTGATTTCATTGCTTTTACAGGCACTTAATTCATTCTTTCATTTTTTCCCCACTAAATAGTGTGATAGTGCATTTGGAGGAAATTGGTTTGAGGATTAATTTTGGGTTCTTAATTAAAATATATAGTGAATCTACTTATTGCATGAAAAAGGTGATGCCTGATTTGATTAGGAGCAGCATAAATATTCTTGATTGTGATCAGAAATGGCAGCAACTTTGTGGTTTGCCTGTTTTGGATATAGATTGCTATATGAGGCTATTATGGCAAAGTAATAAATGAATGTGAGATTGTTTTGGCTTATAACAGATTTCTTTATACAGTTTTAACTTTTTTAAGTGGGCTTTGTTGATGATGTGGATTGCTGCTTTTTGCTGGATATTAGTGGAATTATGAATTTCATTTATTTTAGATTGACATTCAGCTCTTGTATGTAGGAGATAATATATTTGGTTCAAGCACTCCTGATGCTGCCGAATCTCTGCTTCGTGCCTTTGCACCTGCCATGGAAGCTGGACTTCCATGGGCAGCGGTTTTAGGAAACCATGACCAAGAATCTACGATGAATCGAGAAGAATTAATGTCTTTCATATCACTATTGGATTACTCGGTTTCGCAAACCAATCCATCCGTGGAAGATGCATCTAGGGCCACCAAAGGCGATATAATAACAGATATTGATGGCTTTGGAAATTATAATCTCGAAGTATATGGTGCTCCAGGTTCCCATTTGGCGAATATCAGTGTTCTTGATCTTTTCTTTCTTGACAGTGGAGACAGGGAGGTTGTTCAAGGAGTTAAAACTTATGGATGGATTAAGGAATCTCAACTTCATTGGCTTCGTGGTGTTTCCAAGGGATATCAGGTAATCAAACTTGCAAATTGGATGAAACCAAACCATGGTTATAGATATTTTTAATCGATGGTTGCACTTTGGTCTCATTTCATCTATTGATTTGCCAATGTTAATGACCAGGTTATGATAGAATATCAAGCAACTATGTTCGAAAAAAATTTATGGGCAATCTTCCTGAAAATAAAACAACCTGCCTGCCTGTCTGCCTTTCCCATAATATGTTTTTTGGTGCCAAAAAAATTCTTACTACTATGTCAATGGACATACATGAGTGTGAATGTTTGCATCTTTATATAGTAGATATTGAAGCTTATGCAATTATGTAACCATACATGTGCCGGTGTAACTTTTATGTACATGTATCCTTTGGCTCCCAAAGGAAAAAGGCCTAACACTGCTACTGATTCCTTCACTACTTTCCATGTTCTTTCAATTCCCACTGGGGAGGTTTCCTAGATTTAGATTTCATTAACATGTCGCAGGTCACATACTAACAGGGCCAAAAGGAGGATCGTCATCTCTTGGCAGAGGCTTTGCCATCAGCTACACCCTGTGCATTGGCTTTTTTCCACATCCCAATTCCAGAAGTTCGACAGCTATACTACCAAAATATTATTGGCCAGTTTCTGGAAGGTGTGGCTTGTTCATCAGTTAACTCAGGAGTGTTACAGACCCTTGTATCCATGGGAGATGTGAAGGCTGTGTTCATAGGCCATGATCACAAGAATGACTTTTGTGGGAATTTAGAAGGTATATGGTTTTGTTATGGTGGAGGCTTTGGGTATCATGCTTATGGAAGAGTTGGTTGGCCACGGAGAGCAAGGATAATAGTAGCTGAACTTGAAAAGGGTGATAATTCTTGGATGGGAGTGGAGAGGATCAGGACATGGAAGCGTCTTGATGATGAGAAGCTGAGCAAGCTTGATGAACAGGTCTTATGGGAATTACACCAGACAAGATGACTTGCTTGCAGGTATCTATATACTGATTTTATCTTTTTTGAAAAGATAGCCACAGTGCATTAGACACCATGTCTTGAAGATGAACACGGTAGTAGACAGGTGAATTCTTCTTAATCTTTGGAGCAAAAATAGTGGTGAACTTTTCTGATGATAAAATGTTCGGTTAGCCCTTATGCAAGGTGGGAGAATGCTGCAGTAGAAAGGTGAATTCTTCTATTACTTCGAAACAGATATATCGGTGCATTTTTCTTAGGATAGCACCTTCTGTTACCTCTTAGCTAGGTGTGATGCGAATACGCTGTAAAACATTTGGTCGAACCGAATTTACTCTAGCTAGTAATATTGCAGCATCTTGCTCTGTAACAACTATTATGAAATGAAAAAGGCCTTTTTTAATGCCTCTATCTTGAATGATTGAATCATCTTTTTCAATGTGTTTTCTTCTTTATAAAAACTTAATGGCTAATCGTGTTCTGACGAAAGGCTGGTGACAACTATAGTCCATGACTCCATGATGCATTTGCATATCAGCTACCTGATAAAATTAAAATTATCGGGTTCTTTTAGATCAATGAAAAGGACCAAAAAGGATTTTGCCTTGTACACCTCGAATTTTTCTTTCTTATTAAAGGTAAACAAAACATATCAAATGTTTCAAAATGTTTTGGCTTAAAGAAAATTAAGCTGACTAATGCCAATCTTTCTGAACTTCATGTTTCTCCTGTATTGTGCATTCTCAATATCAATAACAAAATGAGTTAATAGTTTAAATTATTTTTATATAACATGTTAATTCTTAAATTTGTCACTCTATCCTTAACTGAGTCAATTTTATTCTTAAATATAGGTTAAGTTTGTAATCTATCATTTTGTCAAGATTTTTAAGCCGCCAAATCACTAGAATTATCCACATGATTTGTGCACGTTTAAGTTTTATTTTTAAAATTCTCTTACAAGCCAGTCAAATATAAGAGTTTAATTCGAAAATCATCTGACTAATTTTGATAGTTTAGCTTGAAAATCTTGCCAGAAGGATGTATTAGACACTTAATATGTGTCTAAGGATAAAACTGATTCAATTTAAGGATATAAAGACAGATTGGAGAATTATCTTATTATATAAGAAAAAAGTTGAGTGAATAACCTTAACAAAATACATATTTCGTGGAAGAATTAGCTAAATCTATAGGATTGTGGAATTTCTTCTTCAGAAAGATGGACATTAGACAGCTTAATATTCTTCATCAGAAAACATTTTGAAACATGGAAGAATTTTACAAGACACAAGGCACCAATCATCATGTCATCGGAAGGGAACATCTATGAAATTTCAAAAATCTGAGATTGACCGGACAAGAAAACATGCTTCTAGGATCATATTGAACTAAAGGGACACAAGCCAAACAGCGAGACTCTAAACTGCTCAATTGACATTTTTTCCCAAGAAGCATCTAACCGAGCACAGTTTCTTCACATTGATTTTTGCACCATCAAAGAGCTCCTTCCTTAAAATATACTTCCATCAGACAACTGTGGCATAGCAAAAGGACTGCTTGGCCTGCCCTGTAAAATTCTCCAAACAGAAGGCATCAGGAGCTGGCATTTAAACTTCCTGACCAGTCATGGGACTTTACCTTACGGATATGAGTCATCGTGGCAGCTTCAGGCTAGCTCTAGCTTTTATTTACATTTCAATAATCGGAAATGCTTTATCATCTACATGTTAACACAGAAAAGTTTCTGATATAGCCTGCATGTGTATATATATATATTTTTTATCTTGGTTCCCTACTTGTAGCTAGCTACATGCTATCGAGGCTCCTCATCAAATGACAGAAAGTTGTTGGAGTTTTACAAGTGAGTAGTATACACCCTTATCTCCTTGAGCAAGAAGTTCACTGTGATTTCCCTCTTCTATGACCTTCCCTTTGTCAATCACTACTATTTTATCTGCTTTCTGGATCGTAGATAATCGATGAGCCACGACTAGGCACGTCCTGCCAGACATGGTGTTTTCCAGTGCCTCTTGAACAAGTTTCTCTGAATTAACATCTAGTGCGCTTGTTGCCTCATCCAAAAGCAATATTGCAGGATTTTTCAATATGGCTCGAGCGAGCGCTATTCTTTGCTTTTGCCCTCCTGATAGTTGCACACCTCTTTCTCCACAGAAGGTCTCATATCCATCCCTCATGGAGCTGCCACCAAGGTAGTAATTCAAGCAAATTTAGATAGCGAACTGATAATAAGAGAAAAAATAAAGATAAGAAAAGTAAATAAGATGCGACACCTTATAAATTCATGAGCATTTGCAATGATTGCTGCTTCAATTATCTCTGCTTCAGTTGCATTCTCTTTTGCATATGCAATGTTGTAGCGTATTGTTCCTGCAAAAAGAGTTGGTTCTTGACTTACCAATGCTATATGTGACCTCAAAGCCCTTAGGTTATAATGCATGATGTCAATTCCATCAACTTCTATTGAACCACTCAATATATCATAGAATCTCTCAATCAATCTGATGATCGTGGATTTTCCAGACCCACTTCTTCCAACCAGTGCAACAACCTTTGCAGCTTCAATTTTTAGGTCTAATCCCCTCAAGATGATCTGTTTTGGTCTTGCCGGGTAGTTGAAATACACCTGCTTAAACTCTATTTCTCCATTCATATTTTCTGGCTTGATACCATCTGAATTTTCAGGATCCATTTTAGTCTCTCTTTGAAGAATCCTAAAAACCGACTCCAATGCACTGGTGCCCTTTGATAGGTCAGCTGTCATACTAGCTGTCTCTGCTATAACTCTCCCCGTTGACACCAAAATGAAAAATATTTGAAAGAGGTGCTTGTATGTTATCTGTTGTCGTAATAACAGCTTCCCACCATACCAGCAAATTACAGCTATAAGGGCACTCGTAAGGAACTGTGAGACAAACAATCCAACTCCAGCATACCAAGATTGCTTATTGCTTTCTTTCTTGGAGCTTACCTGTGTACGGTCATATAGTTTCAGAACCTTTTCCTGAGAGCCGAACGCTGTGATAATTTTGTGGTTTCCAACTGCCTCACTAGCCAACTCACTACTCCCGCTCTGCGCTTTGAGAATTTTCTTAGACATTATTCGCATTGTCATTTCTCTAAGATAGACAGCAGCAATGACACCTGGTTCCAGGGCAATAGCTACTAGTGCAAGACGCCATGACAACATTAAAGCCAAGACAATAGCCAAAGTTGCTGATGAAACTGCCTGAGTCAGTAATGACAATCGATCGGAGACAAGAGTTCTCACCATCACCGCATCCGTGGCCAATCTTGCACATATAGCCCCACTGCTGTTGTTTTCTTGATCAAACCATTCAATCTCAAACATCAAGATTTTTTCAAAAATTGCCTCCCTAACTCTATCTGTCAATGTCTCTCCCATTATCCCAAAATAGTAATGCTGAATCACATTTGTCAGAAAAGTAAAGACAGCAAAGGCCAAAAATGCGAAGCAATAGATTCTTGTTTGAGACCTTATCTGGGCATGATCATTTTCAAAGTATACAGCTAGAAGTGCACCAAGACAGAATGAGTTCGATGGCGGAACTAATCCATATCCAAGGGCTCCAACACAACCTATTAGAGTTGACTTCCACTCAGGTGCTGTCATGCTTATCAGTTGCCGTAAAGATGGGGAACTGTCATCTTCTCGCTGCTGGTTGGCTATCATGCCAAAACTAGAATTTCGTGAGAGAGACTTGTCAGGTGTTTCCCCTATCCGTAGGGTTCCATCATGAAGAGGAAAAGCGCTTCCATACTCTGTATCTTCAGCTTCCAACATAACTTCATCATTCATGTATGTCCTCTGCAGCTTCACCATTACAGCATATGTACCACTTGAGTTTTGCATAAGTTGTTCGTGTGAACCAGATTCTCCCACTTGTCCAGACTGAATAACAGAAATTAAGTCAGCATTGCGGAGAGCAGACAAGCGGTGTGCAATGATAATGGTTGTTCGACCTATTGAGGCCTGATTCAAAGCATCCTGGACAGCCTTTTCTGAAAGTGAATCCAGTGCACTTGTTGCTTCATCAAGAAGAAGGATTTTGGGGTCTCTCAATAGTGCCCTTGCAATGGCAATCCTTTGTTTCTGCCCTTCAGACATTTGAGTTCCCAGTTGTCCCACCTGAAAAGTCGGCAACATTGGCTTAAACATCATTACCTTCGCATTCTTAATTACTGTAAAGATTGACAGCAAACAATTATAAGGATGAGAATGTTAGCAGCTAATAGTAGAGCCAATCCTTTATTTAGGACTCACCAGAGTGTTGTATCTTTCTGGTAGTCTCTTGATGAAGCTGTGAGCATTAGCAGCTTTGGCTGCTCTGATCACCTCTTCCATAGAAGCCTCCTCTTTTCCAAAAAGAATGTTTTCTTTGATTGAGGTAGCAAAAAGTACAGGCTCCTGGCTTACTAGCCCCATTTGATTTCGCAACCATTTCGGCTGAAGGGTCTTTATGTCAACACCATCTAGGAAGATATCACCCCTAAGAGCTTCATAAAATCTCTCAAGCAAATTTATAACTGTTGATTTGCCTGATCCGCTAGTGCCTACCAACCCGACAGTCTGGCCGGCCATGACTTTGAGATTAAACTTGTTTAGAACCAGGCTCCCTGGTCTTGAAGGATACTCAAAGTCTATGTCTCTAAACTCCACCTCACCTTTGACATCTGATATGGTTTTGCCTTGTTCATCTGACGAGTTGATTCCCGGGACACGATGAATCATCTCAAATATTCGAGCAGCTGCAACATTTGCCTCTATGAAGTACTTCACATTGATTAGACAACCCCTAGAGCACTGAAAGGTTGATATGGTATCAATTTTGATAGTTAATTTTACTGTAATGAAACTGAAGGAAACTGCTATAAGAGTGCAGCAAGTAACAAAGTTTCTCGGGACACGATTGCCTCAAATCTACCTGCTATAATGGCAATTCAGAGAATTATCATACCATGTGACTTTGATCATCATGCTCCTTATCGTCTAAGTATATTTAATGGATACCGTATCAAAATACAAACAAGGATAGAACATTAAAAATGCAGTGAACTTACAGTCCTCCATATATAATACACAATCCAGCTGTGAAAACATTTCCACCTCTGACTCCTTTATTTATGACCAGAATACTTCCATACCAGCCTTGAAGAGCCCAAACTGCAAATGTAATGCCAACAGTACCGATTGCCATGCCTTTCATCAATCCTTGTTTGATACCAAGCTCTAAGGCTGGTTTTAGTGCATTTTTATAGTCCTTGGTAGTCCTTTCCTCTGCAACATACGAATAAACAGTCCTGATTGATGACACTGCTTGCTCCACTATCCCTCCTGCAACTCCATAAGCTTCTTGGATCTTCTTTCCAACTTCACCTAGAAGCTTTCCATACACCAATCCTGGAATGATCAACATTAATAATGCAGGAATAGCAACTATCGCTAGTCTCCAGCTGAGGTATAATGCAGCCATTTGGCATGTGATGAACATAGTTATGTTTGTAGTGAAATTGGCAATCTGTGATTCAAATGCTACAACAAAGTTAGTCCTACAAGAAACAAAGTAAGAAAAGAAGCAGGACCTTGTTCCAACAATGTCAAATGAGGATAGTACAAACACCTTCTCTGCAAGAACTCCTTGTATGGTAAGTGTGTCAACTGAAATATTGGAGACTACTTGAGATGCTAGTGATGCACCCTGACTAGCATCAAAGAATCCTACATCTTGCCGCAACACGGCTTGTAGATATTGCCTGCGAAGTCGAAAGGTTTGCCTTTCTGCAGTGCGTGCCCAGCAGAATCCTTCTGTTGATGACCAGAAGACAATACTAAAAGATGAGCGATGCTGTGAAATAGTGTTGATTATCTAGAAATCAACTAACATACTATGTAATCTCTGATTGGTTTGGCCTCTAACACAAAACCTTAAATTCTTAGGTTTTATGGGATTGCCAACTTAGAACATATTGTAACAGTAAAGCAGGCAAGTAAAAGGGAAAAAAGAAATACCCAGAAAGGAGCATGAAGCCACACCAACAGCAACATAAGTTAAGGTCAAAGCAAACTGCAGTACTAACATGAACAAAAAGATTGTTAGAATATGATGCCACAGTTTATGATGTTTACTTCAATACTATGATTCCAAATCTATTAATCTATCTATGAACACACCTTGTTTATGTCTTTACTGGTGACAGAAGTACCACTGTATCTGTTCATGAGGTCACTGAGAATGATCATGATTATTGCCACGGATGATCCATCTGCAACACTCCCCATTGATCCAAATGCCATCAGCAACATATCCATCCAATCTGACTGCTTCAACACAGTCAGCAACGACCCAGATGGGACATCACTTGTTTCCGACTCCTTCAACACAGTCTGCAATGACCCGGATGGGGCATCACTTGTTTTTTCCTTCTCTTCATCCCTGCTCGATAGCTCTTCTTTCTCCTCTATTTCCAGACTCGGCTCAGCTGCCATTACTTTTCAGCCAATATTTCTTGCTAACTTGTGTTGATTCCACAAGCTTATATCAGACATTAATTTTGTCAACAATCGTTTTGTCAAAAGCTGGTATTACTTTGAAGTTAAAGTCAGCCTTACTGTTTAGATTTGTACTGAAGATGGCTGAGAAACTTGCCTCCATGAAAAGTCAAACTAGCGATACAAATCCTTTTCCTTTTTGAGACACTTCTAACATTTTTTTTCCTTAACTAATCTTGCAACGTAGTTACAGTAAAAAAAATTATCTCTGAAAATATATCTCATCGTCGATTAAAAAAATTAAAAATTCTGTTAAGTAATGCAGCAAGCACCAATTATATTCCTATTATGGTGATCTTGACCCATAATAAAATATTGGCTGACTGGCGGCTTTTGCCTTGGTGTTCAAAGATCTTATAATGTCTCGGAATCTACAGTATAATTTACTATGGCATCTTGTTGTTGTCATCTTTGTCTTGGCCGGCTTAAAAATTATTATTATATTATAAAAGAAACTAAAACATGTGATGGTTTCAGTGTTTGGAAGCTGTTCATCCTTACCTATTTGAACTGTGGACGGTGATTGTGGCGCACTGTTCTCCTTCCTTTTCTGTATTTCAACAATCCGTTTCCCTCTCTGCCTGTCTTTCATTTCTGTTCTTTCATCTTCTTTTTTATATTGGCACTGAGTTTGTTTTCTATTGCTTGTTTATGTCCTTCAGTTGTTTGTTTAATTGCTTGAATGCATTTTTGTCCTCCTACCAAGTAACCTTTCAGCCTTCCTCTGCCTGGTCTTTCTTGCCTTGCTTTTTTTGGCCTTTCCGTTGGTTTGTTTTTATTTTCTGGGTAGCATTTAATGCTTTGTAATGGAATTTGCTTCTTTTACCGGGGAGCATTTAATGCTCTTAAAATTATTTAGATATTGTTATTTGTTCTTAAAATTATTTTTATTTGTTTTTAAAATTATTTACTCTTAAAAAAATTGATATAATGGATTCTTTGGATTTTAAATAATAGAAGCATGATTATATAACTTATAATTTATATGATGAATTTTTTTAATTTTTAAATAATGATAGAATGGTTATATATATTAATAAATTTTAAAATATGATTATTTTTTTAAAAATATATATATATATAATGAATTATTTGAATTTTTTATTTTTAAATGATGGTAGTAAGATTATATATATATATATATATATATATATATATATATAATCTAAAGATTAAAAATATTTTTTAAATAATTTGTCTATAATTTTTTTGGAAAAAAATTATTAGAAAAGTTTTTAGTTCAAAATTCATGAATTTTTTATTTTCTTGCAAGTTTTTAGTTAAGAATCTGAATATAGAGGAATAAATTATGTTCTTTTTAGCAAAAAAACAATTATGAAAAACATAATGAATAATTAATTAATTACAGAATTTAAAAAAATTAATTTTTTTATCTTCGATTTAATAAATTTGATAGGTCCATAGTATATCACAGATAATGAAATTGAAATTAATTCTTAAAATAATTCTATATGTGTTGTCTGACCCGCATAACGAGGCTAAATATCTGGTTGAATTCTATTGGCACTAGGATATGTATATTTCTTTAAGAAATGGAAATTGCAACTTGCAATTCATCAATCACTCAATAATGTCCTAATCAGTAGCATAATTTTACAGCAAACCAGCCATGGAAAAAGCGCAAAAGGTCCACTGTCACTGTCTTTCCTCTGCTTGTTTTACTCACTAATTTTCAAAATTTTGCACTTCATGAACATAGCTTCAAATTACGTCACGTCAGTTACACAACGCAATGATTGATATATAATCAATTTAGATATTATCTGTTTTTGTTATTGCTTGTTATAAAAAACTCAAAAATATTTCATCCAAATAATAACAATAATATCGCCATATAATCATAACGTTTGTTTTTTTTTTCTTTTTAAATACTTTTGGTTTTTGATTTAAAAATAAATTTATTAATAATTATTATGAGCTGTTATAATTATTATTTTACTATCACAATAAATAATCGTAACCGTTTTTACAACTGTTCATCGGCAATTTAAAGCTAAGTCATGGACTGAGTTTATTCTAATTAGTCACGAATAAAAATTGACACACAAAAGATTGACCGGTTCAAATAAGATCAAAGGAATTGCAGAGCAAGAAGATAAATTTAACATCTGAAGGAGCTGAATTGCTGACAATTCTTTCTTCTTGATCTAGTTCTAAATATTCCTGCAATCAATGTATCTATAGCATCAGATCAGCAGAAAGAAGCCAATCTTCTGAGTTATAGAACATGATCAGATGGTGAATATGATCATGATATGGCTTTTCAACACCTGCAATCATGTCATCTTAGATGATGGGTGTGATTGCCATAAGACTTGTTCATCAAGCTTACTCAGCTTCTCATCGTCGAGGCGCTTCCAGGTCCTGATTCTATCCACTCCCCCCAAGACTTCTCACCCTTCTCAAGTTCTGCTAATATGATCCTTGCTCTACGAGGCCATCCGGCCTTCCCGTAACCGTGATACCCGAATCCTCCACCGTGACAAAACCATATACCTCCTAAGTTCCCACAGAAGTCATTGGTGTGATCATGGCCGACGAACACAGCCTTCACATCTCCCATGGATATGAAGGTCTGCAAGACTCCTGAGTTCACTGATGAACAAGATACGCGTTGCTGAAACTGGCCAACAATCTTTTGGTTGTATAGCTGCTGAATTTCTGGAATTGGGATATGGAAAAAAACCATTGCTGGTGGCATAGCACAAGCTGAAGCCTCTTCCAGGTGATTAGTATCCTGCCTTTGGCCCTGTTATTTGGTGACCTGCAAAATGTTACTAAAATCTAAATCTACGAGGCCTCCCTTGTGGGATTTGGAACAGAACATGAATACAGTTCTAAATATGTGATAGGTTATACCTGATATCCCTTGGAAATGACGGTGAACCAACGAAGCTGAGATTCCTTAATCCATCCATAAGTTCGAATTCCTTGAACCACCTCTCTGTCTCCACTGTCGAGAAAGAAGAGATTGAGGACACTGCTATTTGCCAGATGAGAACCTGGAGCACCATACACTCTGAGATTATAATTCCCAAAGCCATCGATATTTTTTGTCACTTCTCCTTCGGCAGCGCGAGAGGGATCATCGACAGATGGATTGGTTTGTGAGAGCGAGTAATCCATCAAGGAAATGAAAGACATCAATTCTTCTCGAGTCATTGTAGATTCTTGGTCATGGTTTCCCAATACCGCTGCCCATGGAAGTCCAGAATCCACTGCAGGAGCAAAGGCACGGAGGAGAGATTCTGCAGCATCATGAGCGCTTGGTCCAAATATGTTATCTCCTAGTTACAAGAACTGAATTCAAGTAAGTCACTGAGAAAAAAGAACGAAATGGAATGGTTTTCCGCCCTTCTATGCCGGAATCCGATTGCATTCTCGATAGCAGTAAATCAAAATTCCATTACAAAGTACACACAAGGAACATAAACCGTCCTCTAAACTGATATGCCAGTCGAGAAACAGGGCAAATTTTGCATATACCAACCAGACTTTGGCCTTACTTCTCCTAACCCAAAACACAATTCAAGCTTACCAAACCATGCTCAAAACACTTCTCCAAAGTCTATACTCAGAATTAAAGTCTGAAAAATTCAATCTCTTCATAATCCCAACTTGCGTGGTTCGGCTATGTCTATGTCCAACGGCGAAGAAGACAGAATTTCACTATGATCGGAATCGATACAGTTAAGAATACAAGTCAGATTCAACAAAATTTTGATTGGCATACACATTTTCACCATGGAATATAAACAGGGTCTCTATATATATATGAACACAAAGCTATTTTCTCTGCAGATATCACATATAAAACTCAAAAAAACAGGAGATAAAAGGAATGGACAAGGCACCTGTAAAAACAATGAAATCAGGCTTCTCGGATTGAATGATCCTCTTAAGAAAAAGGGTGGTGTTTAAATCAGAACAGTAATCAAACTCAGAAGCTAGCACATCTACACAACGTGTCACCATCCCTTCTCCATAATGCATATCAGCCACCTGTTTACTTTAACCAAGTCAGTCTTACCAAAACAAAACAGTACAAGAAAGAAACCCGATTCAGCTAGAACATGAACAAGAAGAAAAAAAGCATGGAACTCAAAGAAACAGGACAGAACCTGAAGGATTTTGAAGGTTCCATCAGAGTTGAACCTGAGAGGAAGATGTGGGGATTTCTTGAGGTGAAGTGGATGCTGGCCTATGAGTAATTTGTGAGCAACTTGGGTGTGGAGAGAGTAGAGGATTGTAAAGATTAAGGTTAGATAGAGAAGAGAGTAGAGCCCTTCTTCCATGGTTTTGCTCATTTTTTCTTGCTAGCTAGCTCCCTCCAAGAAAGGAGAGAAAGGAGAAAAAGGAGAAGGAAAGTCGGCAAAGATTCTTGTTATGATCCTTTCGGACAAGGAGAAACTAAACAAATTTTGGCGAACTAGATTTTTGCTCTTAGAGATTCATCAATGTTTCACTTCTATCTCTATAGTTTAAGTTGTTTTTCAATGTTGCCCCTATATGTTTTAATAAAGTTCCAATTTTGCCATTTACTATTAAATAACTAAAATACCTCATTTTTTTCCTCTCAAATCCCCACATAAATGTTTAAATAATATCGTACAAAATCAGGATTATGAAATTTTATAGAAATTGTAAGGGTGATAACTAAAAATACTTTATTTATATCGAGGATTTTTATTTTTATTTTTTTATTTTTTTATAAATACTAATTAATTATTTTAATTTATTAAAAATTTTCAAAAAATAAATTTATTTTTATTCTTTAGTTAGCATGTACTATCACATAGTTAATTGATTAACAGAATTTACTCAATCTAATAAAAAGAGTTAATTAATATTGTAAAATTTATTATAATGTCTAGCAACATAAAATTCGTTATAACATCTAACAGCATAAAATTTGTTACATATTATACCTAAATAAAAAGATTAACATAAATAGTATTAAATAGTATTAATCCCTCTAATTGGAATATATTATCTTTATTTCCATTAGGGAGGAACGTAGAGAAAGGAGAAAAGCAAATTACAATAATGTTATTTTTTTTATCAAATCATAAATTAACCCCTTTAATTTTAAGAAATAAATTAATTAGCTCTTCTCATTTTAAAATTTATTATTTAATCCTTTAATGAGTATCCATATTTTCATATTTCTTATTTCTTAAAAAAGTCAAAATAAATTAAAAAAAATAAAAAATTAAATTACAAATAGATTTTAAAATATTAGAATTAAATAATTATTTTTTAAAATAAGAAAGATTAATCTATTTATTTTTCAAAACGAAATGGATTAATTTATAATTTACTCGTTATTTTTTTTCATGGTAACTTATTTTTGCGGAGGGGTGAGGGTGACATAACGTTCAGCCAAAGCCCAGAAGAGTCCAGTTGCATCTCGACCGTCAAAAATTATCTTGTGGGTCCTCTATTATGTCAATGAAGACGAAACTCCAGCCGCGTGTACAAATTGATCTCCTCCCAGCGCTAGAGCGTATGACAGCATCACACAGCGCCATGTCAAGGGCACCATTGTCCATCAACAAATTATTTCTTTCCTCCATTGACCAAAAATCAGGTGCAGGTGCGCTCTGTCTTTTTCGCTCTATGTAGGTAGCCAGATCTCATTAATTTTTTCTTATTAATTCTGATCCTATATTATCTTTCTTTTAATTTGGGAGGATAATTTTTTCGACTTTGATAGAAAATTATTGCTTTTGTTATTGATGACTTTTGATTTTTTTTTCCCGTTCTTTATCTAATTTTCCGAGTATTTTGTGGAATCTGCTTGCTTGGTGTTAATTTTCAAATGAAAATGAAAATTCGAGTAGCTAGTGAAAATGGGGTGTTAGATGTTACTACTTGTGAGCTGATTGGAGGAATATGAAGCAATGAGGGATAGATAAGTTATTGGAGAGGTGGGTTTATTGGTAAGATCTTTCGATGCATTTTTTACTCAAGGATGTAATAATCTAAGTGCCTGTAATCCTGTAGAATGGTAGTTTGCACTTGGTTTTGGGGGGCAGATTTACTATATATGAGTTTGTTTGGACAAGTTCGATGTGTTTCGGTTTTCAGGGCAGGGCAGTTTTTGTTGTTTCCTAGGTGTTGAAGATCCATCTTATGTTGGGGTTTTTTGGGGGCAGATTTCCTATATAGGAGTTAGTTTGAACAAGTTCAACGTGTTTAGATTTCAGGGCAGGGCAGTTTTTCTTGTTTCCTAGGTGTTCAAGAACCATGATATATTGGGGATTTTTATTATTGGATAATATGCTTGTCATGTAACAGTTGGTATGCTAGTTTTCTTTCAAATAAAATGATTTTTGGATATTGCTGCTTAAAAACATTCATTCGGCTCAGATTTACTATATTGTCGTCGCCTTGTTAGCTTTAGCCTAGCGTTAAATAGATTTGAAGTTGTCATTGAAATTGCAGGTCAAATGATTAACAACAATCGCATTTCTTTTTTCTTGCTTCCCCTGTTCTGATAAACGAAATTGTTTATCGTCTTCGGAGTGTCACCATTTTAGACTAAAAAAATTAGTAATTCTATTTGCTGTTCTTTTGCTTCTGGTATTAGAAGATTGTTGTCGTTGTTTTTTTTTTAAAAAAAAATATATATATATATATATGTCAAGTAGGGTTGCCAAACTAATTGTTCATTTTTCTGCAGATGCAAACTAAATGTTCACATTGTCATGAATATAAGATGGCCGAGGCTTCTTACACCAATACAACTCTCTCAGATTTTGAGGAGCCAGAAAAATCCATCAACAGCGTTACAGATTTTCAAGGAAGCAAAAGACAAATACCCCAGCTATCATCACAATGGTCCTGTGTATGCCACCATGATTGGCATCCTTGGAAACTCAGGCCGAATTACTGAGATGAAAGAGGTTATTGATCAGATGCGTGAGGATTCCTGTGAGTGCAAAGATTCAGTCTTTGTGACTGCAATCAAGACCTATGCGAGTGCTGGCCTAATAAGTGAAGCTGTCTCACTCTTCAAGAACATACCAAAGTTCAACTGTGTAAATTGGACTGAATCTTTCAATACACTTTTGCACATAATGGTGAAGGAATCAAAGCTTGAAGCAGCTCACCGTATTTTCTTGGAGAACTCATATGGGTGGGAAGTGAAGTCTCGCATTCGTGCCTTGAACCTGCTATTGGATGCACTTTGTCAACGTAAACGCTCTGACCTTGCATTGCAAGTCTTCCAAGAGATGGATTATCAAAATTGCTATCCGAATAGGGATAGTTATCAAATTCTTATGAGGGGGTTGTGTGAAGATGGAAGGCTAAACGAGGCCATACATTTGTTATATTCAATGTTTTGGAGGATCTCTCAAAAGGGGAGTGGTGAGGATATTGTGGTATATAGAACCCTTTTGGATGCTTTATGTGATAATGGGCAGGTTGAAGAAGCCTTGGAAATACTTGGTAAGATCTTAAGAAAGGGACTGAAGGCACCTAAGCGATGCCGCCACCGTCTTGATTTTAGTCAGTGCAATAACGGTGAAGATATAGAAGCCACTAAGCATTTGATTAATGAAGCTCTAATCAAAGGTGGAATTCCCAGTTTGGCTAGTTATACAGCGATGGCTGTTGATCTTTATGATGAAGGCAAGACTGGTCAGGCTGACAAAGTGCTAAATGAAACTCAAGAGAGAGGCTATAGACCATCACTTAGGACTTACGAAGCGAAGGTCACTGCATTGTGTAGAGAAGGTAGGGGTGGTGAAGCCATTAATGTAATTGAAAGGGAGATGGTAGAGGGAAATAGTGTTCCAAATGTAAGATTGTATAATGTCTTATTGAAAGGTTTATGTGATGCTGGGAATTCAGCTATCGCTGTCGGTTATTTGAAAAAGATGGCTGAGCAGGTGGGTTGTGTGGCCAACCAGGAAACTTATGGCATTTTAGTGGACGGTCTGTGTCGAGAGGGTAGATTTGTCGAAGCAAGCAAGGTTTTGGAAGAGATGTTGATTAAATCATATTGGCCACCTGTTGCTACCTACAATATGCTTATAAGGGGTCTTTGCTTCATGGGCAGGCAATATGAAGCTGTTATGTGGTTAGAAGAGATGGTCAGCCAGGATAAGCTGCCAGAACTTTCTGTGTGGAGCTCCTTGGTAACTTCTGTATGTTGCAATATGATTGATGTAGATTTTAGCTGTGAGACATTTAATAAGCTAGCAGTTGTTCATAACCAGAGTTAGGGCATCTGCCATTGACAAATATGATTGTTACAGAAAAGTTCTCTGTTTTAATTTTTTTTTTCCTGGAAAGAATTAAATGGGTTTTGGGGCAGTTTCGTGATAATCTTGATATTTGCAATTTGATCAATTAAATTATCAATGCTGGAGAAATCTGGTAAATGCATTCTGTTTAATTTTATTCTAATCGGTTATTAATTGGTCAATCAAATCATATGTTTTTCTATTATGATCAATTAACCCTAGAGGTGCTACCGTGTTAACACATTTTGAAATGGTATTCTTAAATTTTAAAAAAAAAAAGAAAAAAAAAGGAGGATACAGGAAGAATAACTAAATTCTTTTTATTAAAAAAAAAATCTATATAAACAAGGAAATTATTTTTTTTAAAAAAATGAAAAAGTCACGTGCCTAAGGCTTTCTTTAAATGCATTTCCCTCTAATTTCTTACTTATTTATGTAGTTATTTATAGCACGTGTCAAGTTTCATAATACTCAAAAGGAGTAAATCATAACTTAATCTCTCTATTTTTTTTACAAAAAAACCAATTAATTAATCTTTTTTGTTTTAAAATTAATTATTGTTAATCATCTTTAATTTAATGTTGTTCTATTTCAAAAAAAAAAAAAAGAGTTATTTTTCTCATCAATCTTTCTATAATATTTATTTTTTATTTTATAAATTAGCAAAAATATAATGAAAAAAAATATTAAAGAATTTTTTATGAAACATGATGAATTAATTAATTTGTTTCTTAAAACCAAAAAGACTAATTATAATTTACTCTACAAAAAAATGTTGTAGTGCCGTAACGAACGACATGTCACTTATGTTGATTATATAGAAAGGTTAGTGACATCATCCGTGTGGGGGAAGGAAAAAGGATGACATTTCAAAATTTTGAAGCATGATGCCTTTTCTAATGAGAAGCCGATTTTAAAGTTGTGGACTTGAATTTATGGATTGCACAAAAAATAAAAAGAAATTAATAGATTTTTTTTATCGAGCTTAAAATTAAAAAGTGAAAAATGTAGAAAATGAATGCATTATCACTTTCCAAAGAAAAGAAAAGAAA